AGCCTTCCTCCTTGTTTCCCTAGTGTCACCTAGCCCAGGCTAGACGCCATGTGGGACAGCAGGGGCATGGGTATGAGAACTGCACTCATAGGCTAAGCTACCAGACAGAAAGCATCCCCCTTTTCCACTGTGTACAGCCCAGCAGTGGTGACTGAAGTAACTACTCTAGCGTTGTACACTGTTGACTGATAGACAGCTGGGTATATCAGGCAGACAGATGAGTGCTCATCATCTGTGAGACTGGAGGTTGAATGCTGGGGCTGATCCAATGGCGGGGCTCCCCAGGCCCAAGCAGTGATGTGTTCCCACACACGATGCTGGGATTTGTTCTCATCGCTCCACAGCTGGGAACGGGAATGGGAAGCGGAAGTGAGGTATGGATGGACAGATTTAGCCAAGCCAGTTTCAGGGGAGGTCAATCTGCAGTTAGGCCAGCAATAAAGTGGGTAGATGTCCTAACAAAGATGACAGATGGCAGGTGAGCCAGCAGGATCCTCTTCCTGGAACAACAGCTGCATGCACACATGTAAACCACAAGCCTACTGAGGGACCACAGGAAGGAAGCAACAGAGAGGTACCTGTATTAACAGATTTCCTCAGACTCACCTTCCAGGTTCTAAGATGCGATCCTACTTAGGATCCCTAAGAGGACTTTCACTGATGATCCTATAAATCTGTCTTCTCTCTTTAGTATCACCATGAGCTACGGGAGTCTAGTATTTCAACAGAAATAAAACTGAAACTAACACAGAAATTGCTTCTGAGGGTGGGAACTGTGTCATATTCAGATTTTATTTTTTTCTACGCCAGACACCCAACACCCTGTTAAGCAACAACGTAGATTTTCAAGAAGTGTTGAATGAATAGGAGTAAAAACTTCTGAGAAAAAGAAGTAAGCATCAAAAGACAGAAATGGCAAATTTAGTCACCACTAACATGCCTTACACAGTAGTAAAGGGGATACTTTCTAGTGGGTAACAGCTTTCTGAGTTCAAAGTCTTTCCCACATAGTGTCTGTAATGGATCAGAGAGCATTAGCGGAATGGAGGGAAGAAGACTTGGGTGAGCTGTGGGATTCCTAAAGGCCCCAGCAGGCAGAAAGCAGGTTCTGATGCATGCAGGTCTGGAGTGACCCATTTGGAAGACAGAGGTGTTTTTCGTGAATACCAGAAGAGGGGTTCACAGAATCCTTAACTACAGACACCACAATCTCCCATGGTTACCTAACACCTCAAGATGAGACACATAGCACAGCCACAGCCATGTACCGCATTGGTCTCTAACGTGCCACATTCGAGAACACAGTTTAAATCAGAGATAAAGTGATCATCAGTCAGCAGCAGTGATGCTGAGAGACGCTGGGGCACTGCAGAGACGTTTAGCTCCAACACAACAGCAATCCCCATGTATGATCAGTATGGAAGCTGATGTGGCCACATGGAAATGTGGAAAACTGGAGCACCCTCAAAGAGAGCAGGAGAAAATGAGTCAGGGTGGGGAGGGAAGATAAAAGGTGCTAAATCTGTACCACTCAGCTAGGCGGTGACTAAGAGGGTGACATGATAACAATCTGCAAATATTTGAAAGGTGTAAACACCAGAAGGGAGGGGATGCTTAGCCTGAGAGCAGGGGGTATAATTATTAGGAAAAGAAAATTGGACAAAATATCGGAAAAACAGTGTGGCGATAACTACTGGGTTACAAGTAGGTTTCCCAAAGGCAATGAGAACATTGTTACTGGATCCTAAAGCTGAAAGTCCTTTGCTTAAAAAGAAGCTCACTCCAATCAACTGTGACTACATTTGATACATTTAGGGGCAGATCTTAATAAGAATTCAATTCTAGGTATTTCTGATTTAAGTACTAGTGGCCCCTGAAATATCTACATCATTTTTGTTGATCTAATTACAGAGGAGAAAGAACAGCAGTTCTGGTGGGAATTTTAGAACAACAACAACAGTAACAAAAGGCTTTACCTGCTACCAACATGCCTGGGTTTGGGTATAGACACAAGGGACAGAGAGCTAGGACAAGGAAAACTGACCGTCTCGTTGAGTGTCTTCCTCTCTAGTCTGTAAAACCCCAGATAGGAATGCTGTTGAGTTTTCCAGATGGAAAAGAGTGGATCCCTCTCCCTTCCTTTTATATACACAGCCCCCTGGAGGAATTGTCAAGGACAAGGCAAGGCAAGAGAGAAGACCAAAATAAGCTTCCTGTCACACTGATTGCACTCCAATACCTTTGCCTGAATTCCTGCTGCTGCAGCTACTCAATTTATAATCCACAGGCTCTCCACAGAGTTTTTACCCCCAGATTCAATTAGTTCCATTTCTGTACCTTTCTCCCTGCCAACAAACAAAAGTGAAAAAGCCCTACTATACCTAGAGAGCACAATACTTCAACTGTCACATAGACCTGGGGTGGCTGTGATTCCCTTCCTTGGTGCGAAGAAAAAAACCCTCAGTCATTCTTGACAAGCAGAGGCAGGCAGGTCACCTGCTTAGTTGTAAAGAATGTGGTTACCACTTAAAAACCAAATCAGTTCAAGCTGTTGGTTCTCCGAACTGTCACACACCAAAAGCTCGCTCTCAGGTCCTGCTACGGGTTTAAGAGTGATTGGGAAGTCTTAAGCTGCAACACTGCTGATGGATCAGTTAAAACTTGAGAAACAAGAGACAGCACCCTTGGCTCTCGGTTCACATTCCTAAGATGGCCCAGAGAGAAAGGTAAGTGGGGGACCAGCTGGCCCAAAGAGTTAGTTCTGTGTGGTATCAGGTCATAATTTATATTCAAAAGTTCAGAAATAAAAATCAGAATTTTACATGGCCTCAAATTCTTTATTCTCCTCCTTTTCTCTAAAGCTCTACTTTCTTTCCTCAGGGGAAGCTAGAATCTTGTGGGCCAATTTTGGAACATGCCACTGCTAAAGCTTTTTCAATGATCAGAATAAGGGGATAAAAGAAGAATGAAGGGATCCTAATTAAAGGGATCAAACATCTCAGGTAATTGTAGTCAAGGGAGTCAGAACTGGGCAGGAGCTAAGAATGAATGCTTTTAGTTTAGAGTTTTTAAGGATAGATTCTTAATAGGTTATTCCGGGTTTGTGATGTTTGATGCATCTGTTGAAAGACTGGGGCCTGGAGTTAATTGGATATGGGAACAATATGGCTGAGCCTTCACAATGCAGCGGGAACTGCAGCTAGTTCTAAAAAAGGGAGGGAATAAGAAGGAAGTAGCTACAGTCAGTGGTGCAGAGCAGGGCTGTTAGACATACTTTGCTTTTCTCTGGTGGAAATCCTTATAGAAAGAAGCCTTAGTCTGTTAGTATCTCCCCATTCTGTTGTCAGTTGAGGAAGGGATCCTGATCCTTCCACCTCGAGTATGTGCACAGTAACTGTTTGTGAACAGGAATGCCTGAAGGACAAAAATCTAGTGGAAAGAATGTAACAACCTGCTACACCAGTCTCTGTATGCATCAGAGTTAACACTTGGAGAACTAAAGAGAAATTCTAGCGACACTTATTTCCATGACTTCAAGGTGAGCTTGTGCTAAATGCAAATCATTGGTCATGTAAGTGGAAGAGACAAGGAAGGGCTGGCTTAGAAGCTTGACACTAGATTCCTCATTCTCAGTCTAGCTGGGCAGCAAGCAGAAACTGCTCCCCCAAACCTGATTTACAGCCAGCTTTCGACACCGAAGAATCACGCCCCAAAGGGAGAACGGGAGGAAAGCTTTTCTGACGGAGCTGGCATAGCAGATAACAATCAAGCCCACACTGGAACAACCTTTTCTAATCTACCTATAGCAGAGCAAGATCAGGAAACAATTGAGTTTTAAAGAGAAAAAATTCTCCCTGACTGATGAGGCCTTTCCCTTCCCGTGGTACCCCAAGAGCATAAATTAAAAAAAAAAGTGGAGGCTAACTCTGGGGTGTTTTGGGGAAGGGGCTAGATGTGACAGGCTGTGGCCCTCCATTGTCACCGAGGGAACACAAGAACAGGAGTTACATGATGCTCCTGTCAACTAAGCAGTAGAATAGAACAGCTGGGCACGGGATGGTGTGGAACCTTCTGGTGTGTCCTCCCTGCAGTTTCTCTCCTTCATCTATATCTTTGTATTAGCAGGCAGAAAATGAAGAATCTGGAGGTCAAAAAGCAGAACCACGCTAGCCTTTCAAGTAACAAGAAGGTTCCTACGAGGTGCTGGCTTTTATGTAACAGGCTGTGAGACAGCATACCCCCAGACAAACATCCTGCTGCTCCTAGAAGGAGGGGGAGCTGCTTTCTATGAGAACCTCAACTTTGCTTTTACTGACTTATTTTAAACATGGAACTTCATCTTTGAACCAAACAGAACTTAGATTTATTTTTTTCCTCCTTTTCATTTCTGGTACCAAAGGGTTCCCTGTCTTGGTTTCTTTTATTCTATGCTAATGGATAAAGAGAAAAATTTGAATTTACTATCCAGACTCCAAAAGAGATTAGCTTCAGGGTAGGGAAAAAGCCACAGGAAATACCCACGTGACTCTTGCAAGTACAAGCTTCCAGAAGGTATTCTGGCACACACCTGGCAGCCAAATGTAAAAGCTACTTACTCGCATAAATTTAGAGTGACTTTTTCTAAACCAAGCTGTGTTGTGTTACTTGAACAAAATGGTTTTGAGATGTGTTCAGTGAACTTCCAAACTATTGTCTTTCTTGAACTTTCACTCAATGAAAATTGCTCTGGGCTCCTCCTCCTGAGGAAAGTGAGTTCCAAATGTTTAGAAATTAGTATACTCAGCTACCAGAAGAGAGGAAGAAGAAAAAACAGCTGGTGTCAGAAATACGAAGGCCTGTGAATAGAGAGAAGGAACTAAAAAGATCCCAGAGAGTCTTTTCTCTTACAAACTTTAAAGAAGGAACCAGAGCCAACAGCCAGGAAACAGACAGGCAAAGGTGTTCTGAAGAGACACTGCTCTCCAAAGGGACAGACTGATCTTGGACACATAGACATAGCAGTATGTCCTGATAAGGGAAGAAGTTTGATTCTTGAGACAGAATCCTCCTTATGTAACTCAGGCTGGCCTAGAACTCATGGCTTTCCTTGCCTCTACCTCCCAAGTGCCGAAGTGCTGGGATTACAGGCTTTATGTCTCTCGCCAACCCTGCTTCTTTTTGGGTTACCACACTCGGAAGCAGAGGTCAACAGACAATGTCCTGAGAACAGTCTGCTCACCATCTGTTTTTGCTTTTTCTAGATACAGTCTTACTACGTCATCCTGACTAGCTTAGAAGCTGTTGCATACACGGGGCTGGCCTCTAACTAACAGATTTGCCAGCTGATCCACCACTATTTTTGTATAGCTCACAAATTATGACAGACTTTTGTGTGGCTGAGGAAGAAAAAAATCAAAAGAATAATATTTGGGGGTATTTGAGAATAATGAGATTCAGATTTCGGAGTCTATGAGTGAAACTTTGTCAAAAGATGGCTGCATTCACTTGCTGTCTATGGCTGTTTTCATGGTAAAAAGACGGGTGAATAGTGTGACCACGAGGCCAAGAAGCATAAATTATTTATTGTCTAGCCCCTTCCAGAAAGTTTGCCAACATTTATTCTCAAGGATGTCATTTGCTATAACAAGAAAACAACCAGGCAGGCAGAGGGTTCACCTCCTAGAATTACAACAGTGACACAACAAACAGTAAGGACAGTGTGACTATTATCACTAGTAAAAAAATGTCCCACATCCACACGATCTAGAATGTAGAAGAGAAGGACCTTGGCTAGGCAATGTTTGTACTCCCTCACTGCTCTCCCCTAGACCCTGTCCTATGGTAGCCTCTGCCATCACCGTTCCCCTCATTCATGATTCAGATTTCCCCATTCCAAACACACACTCCCAGAAGTTCAAACTTACACATTCACAGCTATAGATTCCATGAGCAGCTGCCTTTCTTTGTTCCTCACCTTAGCTTCTTCCATCTCTGGCCACATCCACTGCACAGAAGTTCTTGTTCCTATAGCTTCACACTCGGCCTGCTTCTCAATTCACAGAAGCGAGAACGACGGATGTCTTGACAGCATTCTATACTGTGTCAGTCCCTCTCCTAGCTTCCCTTACTTGCTCCAGCATTCAGGGCTGCATGACCTGTCTTCTATCTTGACAGGGTTTCAAGTAGCCTAGCTTGGCCTGGAATAGTCAAGGATGACCTTGAAATTCTGATCCTCTTTCCTCCCAAGTACTGGAATCATAGGACACTGCCATACCTGGTTTTGTGCAGGGCTGGGGATCAAACAGAGGGCTTTGTATATGATAGGCAAGCACCATCCCTACCTGTTTTTTTGAGACAGGGTCTTATTTTGTTTATCAAGTAGCCTTGGCTATCCTGGAACTCTCTTTGTATACCAGGCTAGCTTTGAATCCATAAAGATCTGCCTGCCTAGTGCTGTGATTAAAGGTTCTGGTTCTGTCTGCCTTTGTATCCCCATTCCTATTCCCACCTACTCTTAACCTTTGTTGTGGTGACGATCATGGAGAGCAAGACTCACAGAATCCTGAACTGTCCTCCAACCACTGATGTCCAATTCTGAATGTCTGCCAGAGGCGCCCAACGGATACCCTGATTAAGTGCACCTCAGCTGAACCCTTCTTTGCTGCTTCTCACCCGTGCTCTCTGCTTCTGGTTTATCATCTCTCCCATGCTGGAAACGTCACTCACTACCCCTTGCTTCTCTCCTTCTCTACTCACACGAACCAGTGCTTGCTTTGCAAAGAATCTTCTGGTTTCCCTGTCTGCCCTCCATTTTCCTCTATAGAGATTTTTTTTCATACACACAGTTACCAGAATAATATTCTAAAGCACACGCTTTGCTCAAAACCCTTGAGTGGCATCCTGTACTTCACCAAATAATATCAGAATTCAACAATCTGGTATTCCAGGCCCTATAAGACTTTGTGTAATTCCTTGGGACCATATAAAACCTCTAGTACCCATCTGACAGCCTTCAAATATTTGAAGACACAACATCTATTTTTTCTCATTCTTACGTCTTATTTTCTCTAGGCTAAACATTCTCAAGACCCCCCATGAGACAAGAGTTTTGATTTCCTACTCTCTCATTCTTTTCCCTCTTTAAACCTACATAATATGAAGTCTTCCATCTGGAAATAGCTTTCTGGTTGATTTAATTAAAAAGGTCTAATGGGGTGTGGAGTGTACAGTGGGGAGCACTTTCCTTGCACTGTGAGTCAGGTTCAGGAGCATAGAGCTGAGCTGCTTTAGGGAAGATGTGGGGGTGGGGAAGGTGCGATGGTGTGCAATTCCTGCCCTACTCTAGGCAGGAAGCTACAGCGACAGAGGAAAAGCGCCCCCTAGAGGTGGGGGAGGCGGGCCTGTTCTCTCAGAGACTTCTGGCCTTCACTGGCCCCCTTTCCAGCCCATTTCCATTCTCATCTCTCAGCAGCAGCCCAAGGCACAGTGAAGACCCTACTGATGTTGTGACAAGCAGCCTATTCATTTCCTTCTCGCAGTCAAGCTCTCTGGGGGATAAAAGGAACAGCAAATCCAAACCACTGCCCAGAATCCACTTTGCAGAATTCAGAGAAAGACTGCTCGACTGAAGCAATTATATCCTGTTTGGAAGACCTGAGGGGGAACGAGAAGGATCTTTAGTTTTCACTGAGAAGGATCTTTAGTTTTCACTGATGCCGCAGCACTGCACCACTCAGGCACCACTGGACCAGCGCTCAGGGAAGGAAGGCATAATGTGCACTTAGTAAGGCTTTAGTTCCTGTCATATAGGAGCAACGGCACAAAGCTGTCAGCATTGAACTGTGACACTGGGCAGAAAGCTCCGATTGGGAAATGGGAGAAAGATGAGGCCAGCAAGAAGGGAGCATCAAGTCCTAGAAAGACCAGTTTCCTGAGATGAACAGGAGATGATGGGTTGTGCCTGTCCATCCAGGGCCAGAAGATGGCCCTACCATGCAAACGGCTGTACTACTGAGGAATGGGCAGAAAGCTGCCTAAACTCAGGATACACAAGCCAAGTGTGTGTGGGGTAGAGGGTGGGGGTAGTTGAGTGCTTAGGGCTGCAGGAGAGTGAAATTTCCTGAACACAGCTCTCAGTCCCACTCATTCCTTGATACTGATGCCTGGCGCATAACCACGGCCAAGATCGCAGGTGTAGGGCAGGGTGGGGGAAGACAGGATGTAAGAGCATGTGTGAGTGCACACATGTATGTGCTTACTTACCCAAGGAAAGAGGGCACAGAAGGGGAAGGAGAAGAGTGAGGGGAGAGGGGCTGAAGAAACAGTGTTGGCCTTTCCTAGGACTGAAATCATATACAGGAGCCTAACATGGAGAGATGGTGGCTGTTCCAAAGACCCTGGTCGCTCAGAAAGCTTGAGAGCAGGCTGTGTCTACCTATCACAGGTACAGTGGGAGCACCTGTAAGACAGCAGTGCAGGACAGCCGTAGCTGTCAACCTTGCTCATACCGTCATCATTCCTGGGAGAAGGGCTACTCTACCCTCTTCTAGGCATACTCTGCTGATCTCCTCCAAAGTCCCATGCTGTGTGGTTGCTCCTTTTCACCATCCTGCACACCTGGATAAATGCTGGCTTTCTTTCTACCTCTCTCACATATACTTGCATTCAATCAATCAGTCAGTCAGTCAGTCAATCAATCAATCAATCTCACTGCTTCTTCTAAGCTCTGCCACCATCCATATCATTTCTACTATGTACAATGCTGGAGTATATGCAAGAGGCTGGTGACAAGATCCCTAAATTATAAAGAGAATTATAGGGCCTTGCAGAACCTTCGAGAATCTGGGAAGCTGCAAGCTAGATGGTTATCTATTTGATGTAGTAACAAATATTATTGGTGCCCATAGGTTTGGTCACTAAGATAATCATATGTGCTGTTTGAATATAAAACAAAGCAAAATAAAAGTGCTTAGTCCTGGATAGGTATCTTCCTGGGCTTTGTTTTTCAATATTTATCAACTACCAGGGCATTCTATGGCCTCCTAATGCTTCCCTCTACATCAGAAGAAGGTGATTAACTCTCTGAAATGCTATTCTAAGGCTATATAACCACACGTGTCAGCACTTCCATCCCAGGCAGCTTTTCTAGGAGGTACCAGTTCCTGAATGGCAAAGAGGATGGCTGGCAAGAAAGGGTGGGCCTGATGAGGCAAATTCCACAGCGCAACAGCCACAAGAAAAACAAAACCAAGGTAAGTGTTTCAGATGGAGGCTGTTGTTCCTAAGGTCACTAAACTAGAGCATCCTTTGTTTTGTGATTCTCTCAGTCTCAGCAGACAGTTGTTCATGCTGGAGTCAAGAGGACAGGTGGGTGCTTGGAGTGAATCTCTTCTAGCCAGCCCAGAGCATCAAGTTCCGTCAATAATGACAGGAGTGCTCTGGACTGCCAGCATATGGACTATTACTTCTCTGCATATCCAGACACCTACCTGCCCCATGCCTAGGGAACAGGAAAGTATCAGATTTCTCTTCCAGAGGCAGTGGTGAACATCACAGACATTCACCAGGGATCTGCAGGAAAGGCAGGAGTGAGGAAATAGTGTGAAAAACTCCAAGGGATCACGATGGATCCAAACCACTGAAGTGACCTTGTGTGTGCACAGAGAGCTGGCATTCATAGTTTGTGGCCCCTACATTCTTATTTCCCTTTTAACAGAGATGTTGTGACATATTAATCTTTGTAGATGAGTGATATGGTTTAAAATACTGCAGGGCTTGGCTGCCATTCTCTCCCCTGGGGTCTCAAAATAACTCCACACAAATCATCTTTGCTAAACACGCACTCAGGCAGCTCTTCTCTGCTAGCACACACATCTTATGTAAGGGAAGAAGCCACCCAGCTTGCTGGAGGACAGTGGCATTCCCAGAGAGGCAGCGCTGTCTGGCAGAGCTGGGTTTTCAAGGCAGCTACAATATGGTAGTTGAGCCCAAGCTTCCTTAGTGAGAAGACGCCCAAGGAGGTTGAGGCGAGGAGGTTGCCCAGTTAGTAACTACCTGGTAAATAAATGCAACACCACCATTTAGCAACCTCTTACTATAGAAAAAGTCTACTCAACTAGATTTGAGCAAGTAGTGAGGAGAGACGCTAACATTACCTCTCATAAGAACCCATGCAGTTCATTATGGAGGACAGGCAAAGATCTTAGGAACTCAGAGAAGAAAGCTGGGGGACAGGGTAGTGAATGGGGCAGTTGCAGAGTCTCTAATACCTATCCACAGGGAGATGAACAGTATCAGTGCCTGGCCCATACCTGTACCATGTGGAGATCCCAGCAAATCAGATGGTGCCTATAGATTGAAAGAACCTGCTTACAGAATTGCATCAGTAACATTTACTCCCTGGCACAGTCACTGAGCCATGCCCCCAGTCCTTCCTTCTGAAGACTTCTCCCAGCATCCAGTCTCCCAGCTTCTTTTGCCGGCTGACTGTGTAGCTATTTCTTTGCTATTCACCTTGTTTTCTAATCTTTTACAAATCTTACAAAGTTGAAGGCTTTCTCCCTGGGTAGATTAAAAAAATGAAAAGGTGGTTACCAGAAATGGACGGAAAAGGCATTGTTATTCAAAGGGACAAATGGTTTGGTATGACAGGTAGCTGGCCGCTGCTAGAGGGACAGTATGAAAGTCAAGGTACCCTCGTCTCAGAAGGGCCTGTGTCCAGGCTAGGTGGTTTGGACTGTGCCTCACAGATCAGTTATTGATGACTGCGACGCATGTCCATTCTCAGGAACTAAGAAGGCACTCTATCTTTGCTTCAAGAAATTGATGCACACATAAAGATTTTCATGCAGTTTCATTGGGTCCCCTACTCTCTTCCAGCCCATCCTTAATTTCTAAGGTAGGGACGGATAAAATCGGTGTAAAGGGCCTAGAAAGCACATGGAACCATAGTTCCATGATACTCAGAGCCTACAGGGCAATTTGAAAAATCATAAATGCTCAGGTTTCTCTGCTGGACTATAAATAGATTAAAGGCACCATTACACATCAACTAAACATTCACAGAATCACAGAATTTTACACCTGGAAAGAACCTTAGAAATGGTTTAGTTCTTCATCAATGACAGTGGTGGGAACTAGAAATTAGAGCAGTTCAATGACCTACACAAGTTCACACAGCAATCAAGTACAGAGTATAAGCCCTATCTTTTAACAGGCAGGTGTTTCTGCTGGATCCTATCAGTTCAAGCTGAATGTACTTTATCTTATTCAAGTTGTCTGGAGTCCTGATTTATCTTGTAGAATTCTGACTTTGGATATCTTTTCCTGAATATTGAGATAATCTGATATTGTGGACGCTTCAAATAACATTTTAGGAACTAAGCTCACATGTAATTAAAAGGGTTCCAAAGTGCATGAAGATAGCAGACAGCATATTTAAGAAGAAATTAGCATAAAATGCTAAAGCACTGTGAATCTTAGCTTCTGTTGTGTTGGGTATTGGATCAAGTGTAAGTACTTTTGAAAAACATGTACCTTGCTATGTAATGCTTAGGGCTACTATAATTTGCACATGAGAAAAATAAAGCAAAGATAGGTTAAATAAAGGAGAGGTGCCTAAGTTGAACCTATTGGAGCACTGAGGAAGCAGAGTATAGGCCAGCTAGAGAAACATGCTCAAGCACAGCCATGCGAGGGTTTGTGGATGCTCGTGATGTTTCCAATGACAGACCGACAGTCGAGCATTTGAGATGCAGGACAAAAGTAAGGAAAGCGTCGTCTGCCTCTGAGAACCATCAGTGTGGCCTTTGGGGTGCAACAATTCCTCCATGTGGATGCTTAGCATCTTAGTTGCCCTTGAATCTCATAGAAACCCTGAAAGCACCAGAAAATCACTCTCAATTTCTACTCTGCTGCCTTTGGGAAACCACAAGAGTAATTCTGTTATTCTCTTGCTTCTCAGACTTGCAAGGATCTGGTCCTAGAAAACCATCAGTATCCCATGCATGTTCTTCCCAAATACATTTTGTTGTAATTTCACAGACATAAAAATGATCTTTTCAACTCTGTATAACCACTATTTAAACACAGCTTTTCAAAATGTTATCAGTCAGATTTAGTTTTAATTAAAATTGTGAGCTATCTCAGAACCATTCTCGCAGCAGTATTTTTCCCTCTGAAGATATCTAATCATCAAACCTTCTGAGCAGAAATTCAAAGGAAGCTAAGGGTTAAGAGTGGGCTATTTTATAATCAGCCACATCTTACAATAGTCTTTAAGTTCCATCTCTTAGGGAAATGGAATTTACTATATTACATATGTGTATCAAATAACATGAGCCACAGCTTCTGTTGTTGAGATCACTTCTAAAACAGAGTAGAATGGGTTAAAGAGAGATGGAGATATTTGATTGACAGGAGGTCGTAATTCATTGGCAGGAGAATAAAGAACTTGTCTCAATGTAAGATTGGAATTGAAAAGCTTAAAATATTCCTTTAAAAAAAGAAACATTGTTCTGACATCCAAAAAGGACAAATCAAATTGCTCTCCTCCCTCTGTCCCTAAAGAGACAAGGCAGGAAATGCCTAAGTAGGAAGTGTGGGTTCCAGTCTTAATGAAGCCGTGTGACCTTGGCCAAGCAACGTCATCACCGAGCCTCTGATATTGACTTGTTATGCAGTAACAACAGCTCTTCTTGAAAAGCACCAGAATAAGCACCCAAGGGAATGAGGTAAGGGACATGGGAAAATACCGTGGAAAAGAAAGTGTTATTCCATAAATGAATCCTCATGGAAAACTAGTTTTTCCTTAAGTTTTAGTTTACTTGCTTAATCATTGTCAAAGTCACTGTTTGAAAATGGCCACACCAGAGATGGGCAAGCGCATGACTTCACTAAACTCAAGGGCTAACTAACTCTTGGAAATACGCTAAGGTTAGTTTCTTGGGAGATGAAGAGTAGTCACATTCAAATATAAAAGCAGAACACACCAAGAAAAAGTAAGTATGGATGGGAACAACACAGTAAGAGAACACTTGATTATAAAGGGCATGGCAAGAGTAGGTATGGGCAAGCAGTGGCAGGGTGACGAACAGGAAGCAGGGCCAGCATCCAGATCCCAGGACGTGCTCCTGGCTGAGACCTGCGAAGCAGGAAGAGCAGACAACAGCTGGGAACTCAGGAAGGGAGAGAATCAAGCTGCAGTTTCTCATGCTCCTGGAAACATACAGCAGGGATGACAACAAATGCCAGTTACATGAAAGCAGAAATCACATTCCTTGCTGATTTTCTCCATCATCATTTTGGCAAACTGAGTAATGCTTTTTTTTTTTTAAACCACCCGCATCCCTGGCAGCATAACTTGTGCAGGCAGCATTAATGTGACACAGAGTTTTCTCTCTGGAAGCCAGTGAGGAAATCTGATTCTACTGAAAATGGGAGTGCTATCTCTCTAATCTGGAGACCAGCTTTTCAGCATGCTGTCGAGACCTCCTGACTTCTCCAGTCTTCCTAGTCAGGGAAAAGAAGGGAGGGTGACCAAGTGATGCTCTCAATGTTTCTGACGGCAGAAGGATTCTGCTACTCATGGGACATCCCTTATAAGTCACCATCTACATTGCTCCAAATGGACACCTTGCCCCTGGCTTCCACAGGCACCTTCACTCATGTGTACACCACACACACACACACACACACACACACACACACACGGGCACGCACGCGTGCGCACGCACACACACTTTAAAATAATTTTAAAAATCTTTAAAAAAGCTGCCTCAATCTCTTTGTTGGGGTTGGAACATAATCATTTTGTTCTAACACTATTTAACAGTTTAAGGAAAAATAGGCCCAGTAGAGTACTGAGAGAGAGAGAGAGAGAGAGAGAGAGAGAGAGAGAGAGAGAGAGAGAGAGAGAGAGAGAGAGAGAGAGAGAGTTTTAACTTGAGGTCAAATATATTTTACTCCAGTTTTCTAAACAATCTAGGAGATTATAGTGGTGGTTGAACTGATGCCCAATATAACTTTCATTTTGAGGTGAGAGACAGCAGTTCAACAAAGGCAGGCTAAGAACATTGTACGTTAGAGTCAAAATGTAGAGCAGAGACTCCAGTGCAGCGGTTTTTCAATCAATGGGCCACAACCCCTCTGGCAAACCACTATCTCTAAAAATACTTATATTATGATTCATAACTAACCAACAGTTATGAAGTAGCAACAAAAATAATTTTATGGTTGGAGGCCACCACAACATGAGGAGCTGTATTAAAGAGTCAAAGCATTAGAAAGCTTGAGAGCCACTGCTCCGGAGAATGAAGTCCCTGCTTATGCCACTAACAGCTTGTGACAGAGATAAGCCCCTCATCTACAAAATGGCTACATAGACTACATCACAGGGTTGTCAGGGCTGCCAATGGGGCCAGGTTATTATGTCCCATACCATGACCCGATCTTCCAGGAATAATATATAGAAAACTCTCTCTCACAGACCAATTACGTGTATGAACACACAAGACACAAGTATACATACACACATCAAACACAAAAGAATCTTTAAAAGTAAACAGAAAAACACATATTCTGCTGTGAATAGGTTTGTCTACATCTGATAAATGTTAGCCTTTGCCATTTGACAGAACATGCTCTTTAGTATTTTCTTCATGGAAGGATGCTGTTCTGTGTCAAAGAAGTCTGCAACCAAGGGAAATGCAACAACTCTTTGCACATGTCAAGAGAAATATACACATATGTACAAAGAGTCTCATTTCATTGAGCTTCAACTAAGCTTACATATTCTTTAGCAAACACTTCTCTGTTTGATTTGTAATCAGCTTGGTTATCCAGCACTATTTGGGTTTCAAGGCTTAATTTATTTGATTATATTCATTCCTGCTCCCCATCTTCCTTCCAGCACAGCAATTCTAAGTAGTGAGAGAATCTATCATGTTCCCTTATGCAATGAGTTTTTCAGCTTTATGCTAGCACTCTGGAATTACCTTTTCTTCTTAATAATAGTAAGAAAATGCACACCTTATGTGCACTAATGTAGCTATCCTGTTTCCATACACTACTGCTACTTTCTATGAGTTATGCAGTATGTCACTAAATATGCTACGGGATCAGTTTTTATCCCTCACAGAAGGTGCTGAGACAAGTCAGGCTGGTCAGTTCAAGAAGAGAACAGTAAGCTAGCTGTTCCCTGAGTGAGTGAATGTGTGTGTGTGTGTTGAGATGGACAACCTCTGTACCTCATTTGATAAACTACATATCTCTGCTTCCCAGTAGGTCTCCAAGGTCTGCTAAGAGTGGACACGACATTTGTGTTGAGTTTTTCTGGTTGAGAGAATGGGAGAGAAGCTTGACCCATCCAGGCACTCTTTCTGCTTTCATAAGATGCGAAGATACTAAAATTGAAGCATCAGAACAAACAGAAGCTGATGATGGCAAGAGAAGAAAATGAGGCTGATGAGATGATCTCACGCGGCAGAAGTAGTGTTCAAATTTCTGGTGGTTTTGGCTGAGATTTTGCTTTTCTCCCTCCTTTCTCAAAAATGAGTGTTTGTGCACTTTTTAACAGTAGCAAACAATCAAGAATTTAATTTATTTGTTTTGCTATCATCTTAAGGTTTCTTCTATTTCCACACTTGCTTTTCACGTAGTTCAGAATGAAGCAGTCTAAATCAAGATTTCAATATCATGCAGCTTCATTTGCAAAGACTATGCAAGTAAATGAAGTAAATGCCATTTGTATTTACAGTATGAAAAAAACTGCTACTAATTATCTTAAAAGTATATTTAGGCAGCAATAGTCTCCCTTTATCTATATGGCATAACAGCCTGAGTTGTGTGCTGAATCTCAGTAACTGCCCATAGTCACTAAGCAGTGTCCATGCGGATAAGGTTTGACTGCTGTGGTATCACATCATTGTGTTCAAGTAGCCCTCATTTACTTAATAGTGACCCTCAAGTGCAAGAATATTGAGGCTGACAACTCAAAATATTCCAGAGATGCTGTGAAGTGCTTCCTTCAGGTGAAAAAGTAAAAAACAATAGGACATTGAGAGAAAGGGGAGAGGGGGAGGATCAAAGAGACTCGAATCCACATTCATACCTGGTTTATAAATTAAACTTTATCATAAAGAGTTACATAAAAAAGTGAATATGCATAGAGCTTGGTATTCTTTTCAGTGTCATTTATCCATGAGGAGTCTTGAAACATACTTCTTGTGGACAGAGGGAGAGCACTCACTGCATTTTAGAATATTATCTCACTAAAGGAACCAAGCAGTTTTAGTTGTGTAAAGTAGGTAAACTTGTATTTTGTACTACCTACAGATTTAATAAAGTATCTGAAAAAAATGCTATAGAATGGCCATATACACAAATGGGTTTCCACGGTCCAATTAAGGCTCTTTGTCACCAAGAGGACAGAAGGTTGACATTTTAGGGTTTGGGCTCTACTCTGAAACCAAATACTTGCCAATGCCACACGTTCAGAGGTTAAGAAAGGGCACACTAGGCACTAGAGAACTCTCCCAAATATCTAACTTCTCCAGGGATTCCCCTTGGCTTCATGTCTGGATGTTCCAGGGCAGCTGGTAGGTTCCAATTTCACTGTAACACTGCAGCATTTGATATAATCCCTTAAAGACTCTCAGAGTCTAGTCCTAATCTCCCACTAAAGTATCACTCAGAGAAGATCTGAATATAGATGGAACCTGGTCCATTTATATTTCACAGATCAACACAGAAGGACCATGGTGAATACAGATTCAGTGTCTACTGTCTCAGCTCGAATGTCCCCAGCTGTATAACATAACTGAATTAGAAAAAGCCATATAGCCAGACTGACTGGACTTCATTATACACTTATTGTTAATTAACCTCAGCTAGGGCCTTTCTGCTCCTCAACAAAATGTATATGTCACTCATGATGACAGTGAGGAAATGCCACCTCCCCCCCAAGTCACAGGAGTGGCTCTTTGGTGGGAGACATGATGACACAGTGTCAACTTTCAAAGAGTGTTTCCAAAGAAAGTATGCGGGGGAGTTGGGGTCACTTCTAGCTGTTGCAACTAATGACTTGGTAAGTAGGGAGAGTAATGCCAAGGCTCACAACATGACTAGTAAATCAATGAGCTCTGCTCTAGAAGCTTGAGAAAACGGGGTGCCTATGTCAGCAATAGTAATACTAGCCTAGATATTGATTGTTCCATGGACCAGAGAAAGAAGTGGCGAAAGCAGAGGTATCATCGGACCCTTTCTATCATGCCATCTAGTCAACTCCGCAGGGCGGATGGGAACAGCCAAGACAGCAGCCTTCTCCATCTTCTCATCTAGGTGAGGATGGACAGACGAGTGGAAGCAAGGGACAAGTGACCAGGAGCAGAGAACACAATGGACTGGATGCTTGCCAACTAGTAAGAAAGAAATAAAAGTCTATACTTACGACATTCTTTTCCATATTTCGTACCATAGGGGACTACATTGAAATATTAGCATTAGCAAATTAGCACTGAATACTCATTCAGCAAAGACTTGAGAAGTCCTGCTTACTATGGGCCAGGCATTTTTCTTTATGTTTCTCAGAATTTAGTTTAGAGTATTTGCTTTTCATATACACTGTGTTAGATGGTGAAAAGTCCTGGAGATGGGGATGGGCTGCTTAAGCATGACAAGGTGCTGAGCTCTTTTGCAGTTCTAAAGCTGGAGAGAAAAGACTTTATGAAGAAGGTTGCATTTGACCAAAATGGGAAAACTGAGTTATCCAGGGGAAAGGCTGCAAAGCCCAAAGGTCTCCATTCAGGAATAAACAGTGGAGTGGGATACACAGAAGATGAGGCAAGAGAGGAAACTTAGGGAGGGGTAGGCAGGCCAGAGTAAGAACCAGCTTGTACTATGCCTAGAATGGAAAGCCACTGTTAACATGGCATTCCAGGATGAATAAATATATAGACAGCTTTGTGAGTGGGCAGAAAAATGACTTCGATAGAGTGTGTGGGGAAAACGCCTAAGTGGCATCCCCAGGACCTATGCAGATCTTTCGGAACACACTACCACCGGATATCTAGCAATGGATTACATTCCACTTATTCAGAGTGCACAGGGCACACAGAGTTGCCCCACCTTCTCCTGAACTCGTAGGATGCTGCTATTACCATCACTATCATCCTAGGTTGGTGTTAAATTAGCCAATTTAGCAGCAACAAAAGCCCCACACAAAAGTAACTACCGATGGCATATTCATTTTTATTAATTGGCTAATTGAACACTGCCTTAGAACTGCACTAAGGGTGGTAATGCATGAACATACTAGCATACTGCACGCTCTTTCTCATCATCTTTGCATTTTTAGCTCTCATTTTAAGTCACATTTCCTATGTACGTGGAGAATCCAGGGGCAGATAAGTTACTGGCTCTACTCTAGCCTCATACCTTATGCCTCCAACATGTTGTCTGGAGGCTTACTCTCCTGCAGCTCACCCTTCTTCTTGCATTCTACAGGGAAGGAAGGAGATGGTTGCTGTCAGGGAGAGCTCCACAGATAACCAGCAGATACTCTGAGCAGAAGCATAGCTGAAAACAAGCATCACCTGAAGATGAGACTCCATGTTATCCAGGGGCTTTCAGATAGATTCTCACACAAGCCTGGACCTCTTTTGGGAACCTGAATCCCAGTCCTGCAAGATTCTATTATTTATATCCCTGCTACCTCGTACAAATGCAGAGTGTCAGGGTTTTGTGTTTCAGGGCCATCATGCATGGCTATGTATGGCTGGGCTTTTTTCCTCAGTAAAATAAGGATAAAAGTTAAAATGAAAACAGATTTCTTACGTGGATAAAATTATTCATTGTAAAGCATGTAAAAGCATTTATGAACACTGTTTCCCACTAAATGCTAGGTTGAAAAGACCATGTGACTAGACAGAGATGAAGTTGTTAGTAGATGAACTGAAACTTGAATCTGGATGGGTCTTTTTTTGAAGTTTCAAAAGACTCCTGAGATTTCTGGTTCTCTCTCTCTCTCTCTCTCTCTCTCTCTCTCTCTCTCTCTCTCTCTCTCTCTCTCTCTCTCTCTCTCTCCATCTCTCTGCCTTGTGGATGTGGATCAAGATGTGACCTCTTAGAAGAGGAATCTCAAGCCCAATGCTTCCCAGAATGCCCACTAATAGGCATTAACTAGAGGCCATACCATCAGATACTGTTCTGGATCAACATAATGGCAGTTGTGGCTTCCTAGGAACAAGGAAAGGGAGTGAGATTTATTCATCAAAGGGATTCTCCCAATGGTCTGCCCATTCAATTGGTCTCACCCACTTATGGTGGGTGTTCCTCAGGAAGCTGAGAACCCATGTAGGACAAGACATTCTACCAGGCATCAATGGCTACTTTGCTGCCTCTACAGGACTTTAAGTGGGTTTCACACTGCCATTTTTCTGTTCTATAGCTTAGAAACCACGGGGACAACTTAGCAAGATACCTCTGCAGGAAAACTACAAGACCATTGTGACTTCATTCTTTGTTGCTCCACTGCTCAGTGAACTTTGAAGAACATGCTGAGAGATGCTAGGAGGCCTCCCCAGGTTTTCCTTCAGAGAAATGGTCACTGTAGATTGTCCTAAACCATGCCTGAGACACTCCCTGCCTTCATGGCTACGGGCCCAGAATGCTGAGGAGAAAATGCTAAGAAGCAAATGCCGTGTGATAGAATGTGACAGAAACAAGAAAAATTGCCCCCCTCTTCAAAAACCACAAACTCTGAAGATTATTACACCCGGGTCACCACAAAGCTTGAAAGACCCCGCTCATGCCTGGAGTGACCAGGAGTTGATCTATTCATTACTATGGTTTGTGCTTGCCCGTGGAGCTCGACAGCAGGCCAGCCGTAACTGTTGACAGACCTAGAAACTGGTCTCAGGACCCTCTTGACCGCTCTTTCCACGTGCTTCACACACGAAGTTCTGGAGAGAGCCCATACCTTACCCCAGCTGTATTCAGATGCTCCTGGGTCAACTATTTACCTAGTATTGCTGATGTTGTCTGATGCATTCTTCTGATGTAGCATGCTACATACAGTAAGGAAACTGGGGCAATAGGGTTTCTAAGCTCTTCACCTCAGGAAGCATGCAGAGCCACGAAGGGGGAAATGGGGTAGAGAGCTAGCAAGGGACTACCCCATGGGTTTCTGTCCAGTTGGCACTCACAAACACAGAATTTACAATGAGACATACACTATGCAAATGGCTGAAAAGATAGGCCAGTGAAGCTGACACTCATCACTGTGAAGCAGGGTTGGAACAAACAGATTCTACAAAATGCATGAATTCCTGAGAATATGCTGAAGGCAGGTCCAGACAGGGTACCTAAAGGAGAGCCTGTTAAGAGCTGCATCTTTTTGCACCCTCCTATGTTAAGTCTTAGATAATTTTACTATCAAAGGCTCCATTGGATGTATAGTCATGTGCACCTACCTCCCTATCCTTACCCAGAGCCTCTGGCTAGGAGGTGAACAGGAGGTGATGTGGTTTTCCACACTAGGAGTCTGGGTGCTAAGATGAGTTATGGGTGCACTCTCATCTCCCTCTCTCAAGATAAGGTGCAGCTCTCTGTGGGAGATGCAGGCAGATATATATCAGTGCCCTAAGCAACAGAGATAAATGTCATAACTCCAGCCCTGGTCCATAAATACCCAGTGGCGGGAACAACCTCAAACAGCCCACTGTGCCCAGAAGAGGCAGGATTTAGTGGGCTTTGTTACTTGCTCATGTGCTGAAAAAGCGCTTTTAGGAGAGTGTTAAATAGGCACATTACGCAAGCTCACAGACCCAAAATAAATAAGGCATCCTCCTTCTGTGGACACCACCCACACTGAGAGGCTACACGCAGCAGCAGCAGCAGCATCAAGAGGAGGAGGCATACAGAACTGTTAGAACCTGCTCTTGAGCCAGTGACCTTCAAACTGGTACCAGTGGGGGTAGCAAGAGGGCAGGGAGAGACATCAGCATGTCCCTGTGTAGTCTAGGGAGATCCGTTCTGAGTCAGTGGTATTGGAACATGAGGACATGTTACTGGTTGTCACCGGCTGCCCTGTACCTCCTAAAGACTGGCAACTTCCTGAGGTGTGTCTAGTGGAAGACTTCTTGGTATAGTATCCTATATGATCAAGGTGGCTGCGCTTTGCCTTTATAATCAGGACAGCTTGGCTTTCTGTACCAAATTCTTTTCCTAAACAACCAACTGACTCATCTCATCAGATCGATGAAGCCCTCCAGCTCCCTGGAGACGGATATATTAAGTATCAATCATGCATATTATTCTACAACATAATTATTCTGACAATTAATCCACAAGAAATACTGCTCTCCAGATTCTAACTTCTGCCAACACAAATACAAAACTCTTGGAAAGTAGTCACATGAAAGAAGATTGAGCTTCCACAGGGAGAGAGGTTGCAGCATTCAAAGCTACTAAGAGAGAAGAGGAGCAGATGGCTTCACCCAAGTCTTTGTCAATCCTGCTTCAGACCTACCAAGCCATGTTTAACCAGAGACATAATCAAGTACAAGTGGCAGGGGGCACCATCTTAAAAGATGGCAAAGGCTCCTTGCACCAGGAGGGTTACACTCAGCATCCTGGAGACGTTCACATATCCATAAAGTCATCAGCACACACCTCCATATAAGCCCCACTGTGAGCTCACTGAAGGTGCCGTCCTGTGTAGTCAGGCCTCCAGGACAGTGTGGTCTTATACTCACTAAAGAGTAGGCATAGGAAGAAGGGTAGCTCTGCTAGGTCACATCACTGAAGAATCCCGCCTAGCCATTTCAAGTACATTCCGGTCTGTATTACTTCTCCAGGCCATTTTGGCCTATAGGAAAAGTTGACTTAAAAACTTAATTTCTGAAATTTGTTAATTGTTGGTGCTGGGTTTTGAACCCAGGGTCTCATGCATGCTGAGCAGTCCCTCTGCTACTGAGCTATGCTCCCAGTCTAGGCAGCAGCATTATTTTTAAAGCCCATTCCAAACTGATAAATTGCCTCATAATCATTGACTGGTTAAGTTAAGTCTGTGTCTTCCCCTCCCCCCTCCTGGTGGCAGTGGGGGAACTGAGCTAAGAGTAACAGCAGGAGAGACAAGAGCTGTTTTCCAATAGCTTCCAACCTAAGTAAAAAGAATCTGCAGCTAGAACAGATAAGGACAAGATTTCACTGCATCAAAGGCGCTTTCCATTGGACTTTCCTTTCCACTGCCAATATATCAACTGAGGGTGACGGTGGGAGTTAGAGATGAAAGGAGTAATCCATGCAAAAACTCTGAGCCCGACGTTTGCTCAGCACAGAAACAAAAATGTCAAATTCGGGCTGGGGCACTTGTGGCGGAGTGAGTGAAAAGTGTGCACAGGGTCATGGTTTGATTCCCGGAACCTCCCCAAAGTTTACTTCCTGTTTTCAACTAGAGAATGGGGGAGGGGAAATAGAGGCAAAAGAAGTAAGTAAAGAGGAAATTCTCTTAAAACTAACAAACCTGGAAGAGAAGTGGGAGTGTGCGTCAAGGGAGGCCGGGCCGCTGGCACAGCGACCCAGAACCCGCCAGCACACCTTGGCTGTCAGGCAGCCAGCCAATGCTTTACTCTAGCGAGATCCTTCACTACCAGCAATTGGCTTTTCTTAAATGGTGCTAGTCACCCAGCCTGGGAATGATGGTCAAGTCTGTTAACACAGAAAAGATGTTTTACAGGCATATACATAAATAACAATGTTCCAGCTAATTACTGGACTCAAAATATCGGGTATCTGACACTTTCAATTTTGATAAGCAACTTCAGAAAACAAACCCACATTTTTTGTACACTGTCATGTCAGAAATGAGCTACCAGCACAGAAAGCTGCAGCAAACAGCCATAAAATGTAACAGAGCTGCTTTCCTCTTGGCTGACAGATCTGCTGGGGATCTCCAGAGGCTGCTAAGGCCACGGGGCAAGAAAAACAACGAGAGAGCTAAGAGTTCTTAATTGTCAGCCTAAAGCTAAGAGTTTCATACAACTTAGCTTGCTCCTGTTTCCAAGTTGGTCCCATCAATTTGCACCCTGTGTGGCAGCTGTGTGCCCTTTGGAAATAAGTGATGATCTCTATTTATGTTTAGTCTTCATTCCTGCAGGTAGAACAGTCTCTGGAGACTTAGAAATTCATGTCATGGCCACAAGTACAACTTCCAAGACAAAATACTCAGGAATGATTATCCAACAGAAAGCAAGACCAAAGACAGTAGTACAGGCCTTTACCTCTAGCACTTTTGAGGAAGAGGCAGGTAGATCTGAGTCTGAGGACTGCAGCCAGGGCTTCCTAGAGAGACCTTGTCTCAAAACAAAAGACACCAATATCAAAACTGTCAAGCAATGAACCTGTAGCTAAGAACATGCATAACATTTATGCTTCCTGCTTTCCTTTTGGTTGAGAGCTTAGCCTTTATTGGCTGAGCTATATTTTTCAGACCTTGTTGTCTATTTTTTGTTGAAAAAAGAATGGTGCCATCAAAAATTTGTAAAGTAGACACTGGGGTTCATGCCTGTAATGTGAAAGACCAGTCAGGTAAATCATAAGTTCCAGACCAGCCTGGGCTATGCAGTAAGACCCTTGCTTTAAGCAACAAAAAGTAGGCAAATTTACACTTCCTTGGAACATAGTTATGAAGTACAAGCCAGGGACTGTTAGGCTTGGAGCAAACACCAGCAACACATCAGGAATTTAAGGTCTGTTTGAAAAGGTCTCCATTAAATAAGCAATGTGTGAATGGCGGGAGAACTTCTGAGAACCCTGAGCACACACAGACAATGGGAAAGTGTTTGCACTTGCTAGGAGTCAGAGGGACCCACAGGAGAAGGGCACTTAAGGAGACTAAAGGTTCAACAGAAGTTACTTCCTTCAGTGTGGCAAAAGGAGATTCTTTAACCCACAAGCTCAAA